CAAGAATAAGTACTTACCCAATCTCTTTTTCTTGCCTCGATTGTCGAGGAGAGTTAAGCCTGATTTGTTTTAGTTGATTATAATAAAGCACTTAACAATTTTTATGTAATTAAATAATTCACCAAAGAATACAGACTAATAACATGCAAAAATTAGATGTATTCACTTACTTCTAAAAATATTCCTGGATTTCTAACTATGCGACAAGTGTTGTTACAAATTCATCCAAGCTAGTCGTTAACTTTCCCACGGGAACGATGTTGCTACTCTGAGTGACATTGATGGTTATCTGTTCAGAACACAACGTTGTACAACATGCCATTTGATAGATGAAAACCTTCACTTTCTATTGGTTATAGGTAATATGTAATGAAACGTAAGAGAACTATCAACGAATTGTGAAAGAGTGGATGTGACAAGTGATTGTGGCAGGAGGGGTCCAATTTTCTATTTGCTAGCTCTATAACCAAACATAATTGAAGGCTATAAAAATTATGGTCTGTTTGAGAAATAACGATTTTATAGAGAGTATTTAATTTTGTACATTTTCAAGGGGTGATGGATAAAATAGGAATGATGACATGCTAAGACAAAATATGTCATGTGTCGCACTAGTGGAAATTCAGGATTTTGTTATATATTTCCTTGTAGAATTAAGAACTTAAAATTGTATATTATTAAAATATGGATTATTAGCTAAGATTTTATGCTATTCTAATTGATATAACATAAACAAAAAGTAGTTTAATAAAATTTTGAATATAAGACATTAAGCCCCTGTGTCATGCGTGGTAAAGTGTACCCGGGGCAATAGGGTTAAACAATATTATTATCAATTTGTGTCTTAACTAGTCATCAAAGTAATTCTATAATTTAAATTTTTGCATTATTTAAGTTTTATTTCAAAATGAAATATTTAAATATATTCTCAATCTTCACTACTGTGTGTCCTGTAACATGTCTGGCAATCTTTCTCCTTTTTAGATTTTTTTTCATCCCTTTTATGGATTTCAAACTATCCAACCTATTAGAAACCCAAGCTATAGATAATGACAGGCTGAAAAATGAAATATGAACCTTCTTATTTTCTCGATTTGCTGAGATAAAAAGTTGACCAACCTACAAACCAGGCTTCCCCTGTCTTTTCACAGCTTCAGTGTATTTTCTAACTCTCATGGTACATATTAAATATACAACAACTAGGAAGAACAAAATTCAGTGTACCACCCTTTTATATTTCTTTGTTTAGAGTTTGAATCAGAAATGGCAATTTCCAGGTAAATATGTGCTGAATGAAATCAGTATTCTGAGGAGTAATGAAATTCTTTATTCTTTTAACCTGTTTATTTCTTAGTTAAAAAGCTAGATAAATTATAGTAATTTTAGGACATGCTATTCTGGTGCCCAAAATGCTTTTTTGTGTTCCAAAATGCATATTTGAAAGCTACATGAATTACTTTGTGGACATCTAATGTAGTATGAAAAAAAGTACTTATCAAAGGATGTTCATGAGTACAAATAGACCTATAAGCTAAGTGCTAAATTTCTTGTTTTTCTATATATTTTTTATTTACTGTTATTTATTTTTTAACAAAACTAACTAAAATGTGAAAATTAGAAGCTCATAAGGTTAAACAACAAATCTTAAATTTAAAAAAATATTAATTTCTGATGATCATTCACTTGGCTTGCTTGACTAATTCATGGGGTTTGAGGTTACATGATATTATTTGATCCATTTGCTTACACTAAGTTGTCCAACTGTGATATATTGGGTTTCACTTTTTGACAGACAAATTAACCCATTTGTAATAGTTACCCCTTTAAACTTCTTTCTGTGCAAGTCACTAAGTTACATTCAAAATTTAATTCAACAACTACTAGCAATTTATTTCAGTTAAATTAGTATTATAATATTTTTTATAAATTGAAGGTTTGTTATATAAGTTTTAATTTATTTCAAATGAAACCTTTTTTAAAAATACTTAAACTTCGGTTTTGTTATCACGTGATACACAAGCATCCACAGGTCTTAACTTTTGGCTCTAACTTGAATCAGACTGTTGTGTACTTGACTCTACTCGGCTGCAGTGTAAGCATATGTTTATTAGAGCATCAGATATTTATAAAAAACAGAACCAATTTACAGTCGGATTCATACTTTAGAATAAATAGCTCCTAATTAACAAATATTACATATTTCCTCTTCTTTTGAAAAAATGAAATGTTAATCGAGGTTTACAATATTCTTCATTGGTTTTCATACCAGTCAGGAGGTTTTCTCTGTCATAATCGATCTCGTCTCTCTGGGGTTATTGCAGGGGCAGTTGATGTATCAGAAACCATCTGAGTAGTAGATGAAGACATATTATTTATAGAGTTTTGGTTATGTGATGGTTACAAGTTAATCAAATTGATCCTGTCTGTATTTATAGAGTTAAGGTTGTTAAAAATAAAAATATTGAATGTGTATATTGTGCTACAAGAAATGATAAGTAGCATTTTTGAGTACATCATGCAGAGATTAATACTACTACTGCAACAATATTTTTAAGCTAATTTAACAGAAAAGCAGATTGCTAATTATTATTATTTTTGCTCTACTATGTTTTGCTCACTTTGATTACATACATGTATATGCTTTTCTGTCCACTTAAGAAGCATATGAGCGAAACAGAAACTGAGATCAATTAAACATATATTTTGGTAAACAACTGATTTGCACTTACAAGGTATGTTTATAAAACTACCCAAATCATGTACTTTTTTGCATATACACATGTATATATAGGAATTGAAATATCAACTGTTTTAACTACATTTACATTAACCCTTTGTCAACTGTGTGCTTCAAATCATAACACAAGACATCTCTATCATTATATTTCATTCCAAAAATAAAACTAGTGAGTGAAATTGTTTGACATTTAGCAAGAACTTTCCTAAAAACATGTAGTTAATTTTTACATGAAGTATAAAAATACTTTTTTTTTTACCTTACAGTTTTCACATTTCATTTGCATAATCTGTAGAACCTCATAATTGAATATCAAAATTTTTTTAAAGTAAATAGTGTCCATTTTCTCTACAATATTACTAACTTTATCATCATCAACATATAGTGCAATGAAATGTTTAATATTAACAAATGGAAATATGTACATACTTTTCAACTCTTTGTAGAATGGTTTTCATATTTTTTTGTCATATGCATAATTTCACATTTTGATCTTTTTACTTATAGTCTATTTTTAATTTTCCTTTTAAATTCTTTGTCTTTTACTATTTATAACGACTCGTCAACTGATGCTTACAGGGCCTTTTGAAGTAATTGTGGTAGACTCTGTGTACAGACTTGTTAAAAAAACAAGATGGCACTTATTCACATGTGTTTATTAAGCTTTCACAATCTAGGTGACAACAAGTTAAGCTTATAAAAATCATTAAACTTTTCAAATACGAATTTTAAAACACAAATAATACATAATTAACTAAAATATAAAAGTAAAACCTAAATACAATATAACTGTATCAGTGTAATATGTATAAGGCAAGAAAGTATTGCCAAATGCTAGGGAACCTGCACTCATCAATGGACTAAGCTTCATTTCTACATTGTAGTACAAAACCATATAATACTAACATATCACCCATAAGATCCCTGAGTTACCCAATCAGGGAGGAAATCTGCTCTTTCTGTTGGTTATAAGTATGCCATTCAAATTCAAACTGTTGCTTAGCAACACAGATTCAACGTCAAAATTGGGCATGGCTGACCTTAAACTTAGAAAGAATTTACAGCAGCTTCCTGTGGGGGGAAGAAAATCTTCAAACATTTCCTGACTGTAATAAAATACATCTGTGTAGTGGACTTTCGCCGTCTAAGATAACAGTATGCTAGCTACTCACAGTTGTTTGTATAAGGGCTCTCAAAAGATAAGAATTGTAACAGCGAGTGGATCATGTGACAGAAAAAAATCAGCGGTTTTAGAAGTTTCTTTTTAAAATAAAGGAATAAAACTCAGATATAAAAATTTAAATTATAAAATATTCAATAATAATAATTTCAATAATTTACTTTGCTGGTAAAGTGGTTTAATTAAATTTTGAATGTAATGCAGTACCAATTCAAAAAGGAATTTAAAAATGGCTACCGGGGTGAAAGGGTTAATTCTTATCTTGTAATGAAATGCTTATTATATACGTAAAATGTCAGTCACTTTTTTTTATCCTTCCTTGTATGTAATTATTTATGTGGATGTTTTTCTAGAGAGTATTACACATCAGTTTTGAAAGTTTTATTATAAATATATGTAAATTGTCATTTTTATTATTTTATCGATGCATAATGTTTTCTTTTGCAGCCATATTATCAATCATTTGGTTCGTGCAAAACATAAAGAAGTGACTCTTCATAAGGATGGGCCTTTGGGAGAAACTGTTCTTGAGTGTTACAGCTGTGGTTGCCGTAATGTATTCGTTCTTGGCTTCATCCCAGCAAAAGCTGATTCAGTTGTGGTGTTGCTGTGCCGTCAACCTTGTGCAGCTCAAAGCAGCCTTAAAGACATGAACTGGTAGGACTATGAAACTTTTGTAAAAAGTATAGTGTTTTATCTAATATTTTGTGCTTTGTTACCCATCCACCTGGTAATGTACGATTTGATACTAAGTGAAATGCCTCATTTGTAGTGGCATGCAACAGAGTAGTTGAAATATTCTTATATAATCCTATTTTATTGGAATTGTGTTTTGGACCAGTAAAGATTGATGTGATTAAAATGGTCGTTCTTTTGTGACTTCTAACCACACATTTTACCTTGAAAAAGATCATTCTTGACCAATCTGTGTTATGTACCATTGGATTTGAACTATGATTAATATTTCCATGCAAATTTATTTAATTATCGTATGATATAGTATTTTGGATAATTTTGTTGCAGAAGTGAATCTAATTCTGCATAATATTTCCTGTAACTGTCTGATTTCAAAAAATTGTTAAATGAATTGAAAACTAAGTATTGAATATCCATACACCAGCTTCATAAGTCTCTCTAAATTTACCATTAAGCTTAACATTCTTCTTTAGTTTAAAGGCATGTAATCCTCTGTTAGATGTCCACTTTGGGACAGCTTTCTGTGAAATTGAACAAAACAAACAAACTATGTAATTGAGTCTCTAATCAATTAAAAATTATTATTCTAGGGATCCAGATCAGTGGAAACCTCTTATTAATGACCGCACCTTCCTTACTTGGCTGGTAAAAGTGCCTCAAGAGCAGGAACAGCTTCGAGCACGTCAGATTACAGCTCAACAGATAAATAAGTTGGAAGAGCTATGGAAGGTAATGAAATAGTTTTGTTTCCTCACTACTTTTTACTATTCTTTTGTAATGTATATTAAAGTAACAGTAGTGAATGAATAAAATGTTAAATATTTCAATAGATTAACTATTTCAAAATTCATTTTTTCAACGGTTTATGTAGGAAAATGTTGATGCTACCTTTCAAGACTTGGAAAAACCTGGTGTTGATGAAGAACCTCAGCAAGTTCTCTTGAGGTATTATAATCTATTGAGAACCATTATTTTATATAACATATTTATAGAATAGATAAATATAGATATTCAGACTTAATAAATTTAGATTTGTCTTTGTAATTTTGTTACCAATAACACTTCTCAAAAATGTGCTGCTTTCAGAAGTAAAAATTTAGCTTATGAAACAGTTCTGATAATTTTTTTTCTATGGTTTGTTTAAAAAAATGTCCTGGTTGTTTTGTACTAACCCTATCATGTCTGGTGAACACCTTTCACATCTCAAATGCACACCTGAGTAATAAATTAAATTATTTATTCTAATGTAAGATAAATGAAATGATACGAGCAGGAATTTATGATTTCATGGGAAAGTAAGTATAAGAGATCTTGCAGTACTGAACAAAGGAATATCATGGGAAGTTCAGAAGGCTTAAGAATAAACCACAGATCTGGGATTTTTTTATACTTACTTTAGACATTTGTTCCTGAAAATGTTGCTTTCATTTTAATTATACTTGTTTGAAAGCTACCAAAGTTTTCTTCTATAACATCAGGTATAAGCTTAGTTTTAGTGAGTATGGTAGGTGGTAGCAAAGTATTTTAATGTCTTAAATGATTCAAGTAACTTAGTAGTATTATAAAAAAACTAATTTGTCAGGTAATGGTGATGTCATTTTGTAAGATTAGGTCCTGTGTCAATGATACTCGGTTTGTCAGTTTTGTCATGTTTTTTTATGGTTTATAGCTGGAAATGATGACTGCTTCAATCAGCAAGGTAATGTATCAAAGAAAAGACGTTAATGAAATCAAACAAGTTGAAAAACTGACTGTATATATATCAAATGTAACTTTCTAATCATCAAGATGAAAGGAAGTATTTTAATGTTGCCTATATATATATATATATATATATATATATATATATAGTATAGTAGTAGTAGTAGTATTTATTTATTAGTTTATTATATAGTAGTTACTTAGTTATTTTAGTTAGTTCGTTACTTATAGTATGTA